CATCTGGGCTTACATTTCAACAGGATAATGCCCGGTCACACATGGTGCGCCTTCTACTGCTTGTCTTCATGCTTCTGCAAAATTTCCTTGGCTAGCGCAGAGGCCATGTCCGCTCCCCAACAGACCACGTTTGGGCATTGATGAGCAGGCGTCTCCGACCGTCCCCGGATGGAGATCAAGTCGCCAGTTGGAACAGGTATGGCAAGTAATCTCGCAAGAGGTCATCTGCTAACTCTACGAGTCAGTCCCCAGCTGGATAACAGCTTGCATCCAGACCAGAAGAGGGTCAACGCAATCATCATTGTATTTCCTGAAACATCCAGTTCGTATAATACTATTAGCGTTTTGTTCTTTCTTGAACCGATTCTGATAACTTCTTGGTGCGTCGCTTTTTACGTTATAGAGTGTGTAATTTGCTTTTCATGTGTTTTTTATTTTTCGTATTTTGTACAATAATTTTATCGTGCATTTTTGTTTAATAAAATATGTAGCCATCTACTATGCTTATTTTGTGTAAAAAGAATATACATATTACAAAGAGTTATTTTGTCCAAATTATCGATCCCTGCGCCTCGCCTCGACTATTGGCGAAACGAATACATAGTCTAGTTTATATTAATAGCCGCTAGATGCCAGTTGTCTTCTGTTTTGCGTGGTAACCGTCGCATGTTTAAAATGGCTACTTCGCAGCAGAAATCATTTTGTGTTTTCGACTTTGCGAAGTGCAATTGCGTGATTACAGTACAAAGACGTTTCAAGTTGAGGTACCAAAGTGATCCGAATGGGTGGAACATTCGCAGATGGTATCAAGAGTTTGTAAATACAAGATGTGTATGTAAAGGAAAAAGTCCTGGCCGCCCTCGTGTTCCCGACGAATGTTGCGTGAATTCAATCTGCTTTCCAACGTAGGCCTTCAAAATCAACTCGTCGTGCCAGTCGGGAGTTACAACTGCCTACAACAACAATTTGGCATGTTTCGAGACGTCGGTTGGTTATGAAGCCGTGCAAGTTACATTTGTTACAGGCTCTGCATCCTTGTGACAAACGCAAACGTGTGGAATTTTGTAAGGAGATTATTGAAGCTATTGACAATGATAACATTTTCGCACAGCGCATCGTGTTCAGTGATGAAGCGACTTTTCATGTTAACAAACACAATGTTTGAATTTGGGGCCTACAGAACCCACATGCAGCCATTGAACATGTACGAGATTCGCCCAAAATCAATGTGTTTTGTGCGATATCCTGATCATCTGTTTACTGCCCATTCTTCTTTGATGGAAACACGGTTACCATAGCAGTTTTTTAACATAGCAGTATTTCGCTATGTTACAAAATTGGTTGTTTCCGATGCTGCACGAAGACAACTTCATTTTTCAACAAGACGGGGCACCCCTCACTGGTGTCGTCAAGTGTGTGATTATCTGAATGAAACTCTACCAAACTGTTGCATTGGTCGTCAAGCATGATGGTGACTTAGCATGTCTCAGCTGGCCTCCACGGTCATCGGATTTGATACCCTGTGGCTTCTTTCTGTGGGGTTTCATTAAAGACAACGCTTTTTGGTGGTACATAAGCGATTAACGCTTATGTACCACCACTCCCACAGAACCTGGAAGAGGTGAAGAACTGGAACCATACTGTGACGACGGACATGCTTGGCCGAGTATGGGAGGAATTTGAGTATCGATGTGATATTGTTCGTGTCGCTGATGGAGGACATATTGAACATCTGTAATCTGAACTTGAGAGGTTCGTACATATGTGTGTAAAGTTTCATATTCGCATGTCATACATTTTAATAAATATATGTATTCGAAATACGTATATTCTTTTTGAAACACGCTGTATATTGCAGATCATATAATTTTGACCTGATCTACATTTCATACGTAAATCTAGCTCAGTTAGAATTTGAAACATGGGCAGGAACTGTTTCTGACTAGTCTCAATGACAACCTTTAATGCCAAAAAGATAATATTTAGCAATTTTCCTACATTTGGCTAGATTCCAGAAGTTTCTGAATAATGCATTTTCGAAGCGTTAAGTTCAATTCTTGAAACTTCCAAAAATATTGGCAGCCTTGTCTATATTGGAGTCGATAATCAGCTAAATCTAGTGAAACCTTGGTTCGCGAATTTAATTCGTTCCTAAAGATAGTTCGTCATCCAAAATATTAGTAGACCAAAACAATTTTTCCCATAGGAATTAAAGCAAAATAAATTAATCTGTTCCCAGATCCCAAATGATTGCTTAGGAAAGAATACATTGTGTGTAAATTCATAATACAAAAACAACGTAATTTTTTTAATCTAACCCATGCACAGTATTAAAGCTTGTTAAACATATAGAAAACTGGAAAAGGTGAATTAGATTTTACCGTATTCTCTACGAAGGAAAGTTAATAGCGTAAGTAGAAAACGGTGAAGAAGCGAAAGGTACAAAATGTTATTGTTTGAAAAAGAAATCATCTACTGTAAAAATCTCAGGTAATTACTGTCTTCCTTTTTTTTCCAAGGGGGGGGGCTTAATATCGCGTATCGTGTTTACTATTTACTTCAAAATCACCGTGAAGTGTTCTACGAACCTTTGCACTTTACCCCATTCTGCTCAAATTTCGCAAATCAAATAACTAAAATCAACCTCCTTATGCCATTTAGTTCTGATGACATTTCCTCCATTGCATTAACAGCATTTCGGAATGTTATCTTGTTGTTGTTACTTATCCTTCATCGATAGTCATTAGACTATACCCGATCCATGAGTCCAAGAACCATAAATCTAAAACGAAAGTAGGTCTTTTCAATAGGTGCTCTTTTACATGTCCCAAACAGGTGAGGATATGTTCAGGAGCAAATGATCAGCATCACATTTTCTACCGATGAGGTAATTTAAAGTATTTCAAGTATCCACTTAGGGGCCTCGTCAAAACAGTCTACTGAGCCAAATTCCCCCAAAAGCAATAACACCTCCCGGCTGCCTGTCAAAGCACAAGTCATGTGTCGAAGGATAATGCCAGGAAGAGGCAACAGTAGATATAGCTCTGGAGCAGATCTCCGAAAAGGTGAGGATGCCAGTGGTCAGAGTTGTACCTTCCTTAGCTAGACATCAGCCATTTCATTACTTCTGAGGTCAGTATGTGAAGGAATCCATTGCAGATATACATTACGATGGGAAGAGAATTTTGCAGCAAAGCGAAAATAGAGAGTGAATTTTTGTCACCATTACGAGGCCAGTTTTGCAGATGCTAGATAGAACTGCGACTGTCAGTCAAAATCCAGATATCTTTGTAGGCAGTGCAGGTGTATGCAGGCCCTCCTCAATTGCTATAAGCTAAGAATAAAAAACAGAACAGTCATCAGGGTTTCTCGTCTTAATATTAAAGCTGTTAAAAGAACACCTAGGTGTTCTAATGAAGACTCCACTACCACGTTTCCCATGTTCATTTTTACTGCCGTCAGTGAAAATCTGAAGGGTATTAGAGGAAATGCCATTTTAAGTTTCCAGTGTAGTCTGCCGAAGATAATCTGGAAAATACTTTTTGTTGTTGTTGGTATAAGAGGTTATATGTATATGGAAACAGACTCTAGAAAATCCTTCCAATGGGTTGATAGTTCGAATGACATTTTGGAGTATCATTTGTTGCTGGCTTACTTGTTCATATCTTCAGATATCGTTCGTGAATCAAAATTCCACTGTCATAACCGTACGACTGTATAAAGTTCCTGCTCGGTTTTTTTATTTATTTTAATAAAGTATATAAGATCTTTCTGCTGATCTGGCGTAGTCATCAAAGAGATCCCGTAGCTCAGAACGGTAGCTACGGGACCCTTCAACCCGTAGCTCAGAAAGGTAGCTATGATAGCTAGCATTAATATATAAAATGGATGAAAATCAGAAAGAAGAGACCAACTTTGCTTCTCTTCTTAATTATAAAATAAAGAAATATATAAAAACATTTCAATTTTTGTTGCTATATAATTTCATTATTCTTCATAATTCTGATGCATGTGTTAAGGTAAAAGCAAAAGAATCAGCGAGAAATACAGTAGTCAAAGCACATAATAACGTTAAAAATATTTTTTGTTAGTGATTCTAATAGTATAAGGGTTAAAACTTGGTAATAAAATGAGTGACAAATGTTAATAAAAATTTAAAAGATTTCGGAATTCTGCTTTAAATTTTTTATGCGAAATGTGGAAATTTAGTTTCGTATACTTGGATCGTACAGAAATGATTGACACAACGGCTTTCACAACGAAGCTATTACACTATGCGAAAAAAAACAAGTGAAATAGACACAAAGGGGCGTGAGCTACTCAGATTGCATACATGGAACGGTATAAGTCAGCGCCCGTCCCTTTCGCCGTCGTCATTGAGAGCGTGGATAGCAATGATGGAAGGTGATTATCACGGTCAACGTTGGACATGGATAGAATCCTATGGAAGGAAGGGATACAGGGTAATGAGATCCATCGTCGTATGGTGTTGGTGTGCGGGAACAAAGCACCCTCAAGGTTTACCGTATCCCATTGGTTGTACAAGTCCAGCAGTGGAGTGGTGACCACTGCCACATACAGCAGCAAATGTGGCAGCCGTGCAGATTTGATCATGGCGAACAGGGGCATATCGTTCAACAAGATGTAGGAAGAGACAAGGCTTTGCAGGCGATTTTACATGGTGATTTGGAGATGACAAATGTGTGTGCAAAGTGGGTGGACCTCAGATCTCGGACTACGCCTTGCTTGACAACATGAAGGACGCAGTCAGGGGCTAACGTATTGAATCTTCTGCCGAATTGCTTGCAGTTGTCCATAGATGGTGCACCAACATCCCCGCAGACTGCTTTACCAAAGCCCTTCAGGACCTCCCAGCCAGATGGCAGAAGTGTATTGACATGGGCGGGGATTATTTGTAACTGATGTACTAAATTTTATTCGGCTCTGAGGCAGCATTTGTGTCATTCATTTCTGTACGACTTAAATAGAACTATAGTTACCTGTTGAACTAAGAGCTGAGTCTGCGTTGCAACCGAATGGCAGTGAAGTTTATCATCATCTAACCACTCTAATGGTGGGAACTGAGCTGAAAAAGCTACGTGTTTGCTTGACTTGTCCGTCAAAGAGTGCATTCTTTTCAGAATTTTGGCCAGCATTGATTGTTTTTCACCTGTTTTGAAAAGATTATCAGAATAAGTAAAATTACTTTGTGAAAACTAATTGCGTTAAGAGATATTCTTCTAAATTACTAAGCAGTTCGAGAAATATCAAGCGTTCATTGTAAAACCTAATGTTTCTAAGAAAATGTTAATTTTTATACGTGTGATTATAAATAATACTTTGCAAAAAACGCAATAAAAGCTATTGTAGCATTAAATAGTAAAATTTAATTTGTGGAACACGAAGAGATGTCATTAGATTTAGCAAAATACTAAACTTAATTTTAAGATTAAAACCTTGGATTTTAAGAAATATTTAAATCATTATTTCTCCATTTTGTATACAGTTTTTAGATCTTTATAATTGTGTAATTTTAAACTCTTCATCTCGTTTTCATATGTAATGTGAATTTAAAAATGTGTCTCCAAGCTTAATATAAAAACTAAAGAGCACAGGAAACATTTTTTACGAATTACAGTATTTTTTTTTTATTATTATCAGATATATGCATTATAAATAACATTAAACATATATGCCCTCGAAGGGTGCATATATGTACTATATACATATAAGCAAAAGTTGAGAAGATTTTAAATTAAGATGATGTATATTTTTAAAACGGCGCAGTATGCTGCGAAATTAATTCAATAATCAAGATATAATAATTAAATTAAATCATGAAAGGAGGAAACTAACCAATAGGAAATATTCAAATTTAAATTAAAACAAAAACAATAAAATAAAATAATGAAATAGAATAAACTGATATAAACTATATGCTGTATAAAATATAAAAATATAATGTTGAACATTTTTTGGTCTTTTTCAAGGAGCAGCAGAAGAACGTTGAACAGAACCAATTTTCTGAATTGTATCCAGATGATTATGAATTTTCGAAATGTTTTAAAATTTAAATTAAATGCCAATTAAAATTATTTAATTAAAACAGTGCTTTAAAAGTACAATAAAATAAATTTAAAAATATGATTTTAAATTAATAAATTATTAAAAATTAGTAGAAATAAATTGTACATGAGGAAGTTAAAAATTTTTTAAGTAAGAGAAATAAATTGTATGTGTCTCCAAGTAATACGTGGGTGATGGGGGTAGTAGTAATAGTAGTAGTAGCAGTAACGGAGGACGTGAGCACCATTACGGTTAATCGGTTCTGCCCACGTCCGCCCTTATCTAGTTTTTATTAATAAAACCAATTTTACATTGTAACAAGTAATAAGATGATGTATATTGCAATAGTTTTTACATTACAAAACATTGTAACATTGTAATAGTTTTTACATTACAAAACAAGTAATAGTTACATTGCCGTATAGTGCCATATAAAAAAAATAAATAAAAATAAAAATCTTAAAGTAGTACTTTATAGTCCTTCATGAAGTGTATCTTTGTAAGTAATTCTTTATAAAATGTCGAAATTTGTCCTTAGTAAAAAACGTATGAAACTTATTCCCTCGTTCTTCTTCAAGAAATTCTTCTCTTTCTTTCTTCTTCTTTTCTTAGTTCTTCTCTTTCGTTTAATCTTCCTTTCATTTAATCTTCGTTAAATCTTCCTTTCTTCTATCTTAATTTCTTTCCTCCATTTTACATGTATTTTCTTCCTATATATCCTTTATCTTTTTACTTAATATAGCGAATAAGAAATCCATCTTTAAGAAATACTTGTTAACATATTCTTTCCATCTTCTACAGAAAATTTTCCTTTTTCTTTTTAAAACCTTTATTTGTAATTTTAAACCTTTTCCCTTTAAATCTTTTTCCTTTGAAGCCGCCTTCTTCTGCCTTTCCTTCGAAACCTTTATTTGCAAATTTAAACCTTTTCCCCTTTAAAATCTTTTTTCTTTGAAGCCTCCTTCTTCTGCCTTTCCATAAACGATTAAGTAGTCCTTCATTAGCTAAATCATTGATGGGGGTAGGAAGAGTTGTCAAAAAGGAAAAGTTGAATTAACAGTTAGAAAGTATTCATCTATTTGGCGTATTATAGGACTGGAATAGAAATGGCCAAATTACTGTACATTATAAATTACTGTATATATTGTAATTTAAAAGCCGTGTACGGAGCAGAGAACAAGATTCAGGGGAAAATGGAGTTTGGTGCCTAAAAGATGTAAGTCGTAGTTACCAATTTAGCACTTGTTTATTCTTAAGAAGATTTGCTTCACTTACACTTCACTACACAGCCTAATGGGCGCATTTTGCGTACCCTTATTAATTACATTTGTTCATTTTCTACGAGTACATCTCTGTAAACAATTAATTTCAATGGAGGGAAGAGCAGCGAACTGATAATACAGTTCGTTCAATAGTACAATACTGATCATACAGAGAATGGAAGATGTCTAAGATGAAAACCCGATTCCGAATTATTTGATTTTGATTCAGCTTCATCTGGATTGGTTAATTTAAGTTCCGATTTGCGAATTTGAAATTATTTTTGGCCGAAGTTATTCCATGTAAATTAGCTGAATCATTAACGCTATATAAGTATCATGTGAGAAAGACGACGTAGTTTATAACGATTTATTATAATCAGTTACTATGTATAGTAGGGTTTCTTAAACTTTTGTATGAGGACCCCATAATATTTACGAAAATTTTGTGGGACCCTTAAGCATTGCGCAAATCGACACACGCGTGACTGAAACTATCAGTTTCTTCACTTGTACTGTAATATGCTATTGAAATTTTAGGTCATTGACTTTAAGTAAATCAATTTAATTTTTTAAGTAAAATGAACTTTTATATTATAAAAAAAATGCGTAGAAATGTTTTAGTTTTTCCTTTGTCTGTATTGTCTTATCTTTATCTTTTTCAGATACATTACGTAAAAATATTCGGTAATTGTAAAATTATTATAATAAGTTAAATATCAAAATGACTAAAGTTTTTGACGACCCCTTACTGCAGATTCCGGCGCCCAAAGTTTAAGAAACTCTAAGTTATAGGACTGAAAGTGAAAATTACCAACTTAAAATGAAGCATTAAGAGACTATTTCTAATTAAATTTAAAATTTCGAGTTACATATTTTACATCTTACATTATATATGTATATAAGAAGTTACTGCTATTTGAATAACCAATATAAGAGGTAAATAGTGATGGATTACTTCTGATTATCAAAGATATTATGTTGTCATTACATAAATGAGTTTATAATTAGTTAGCAAAAGAACCTATTAACAATGCACTGTATCTTTTCTTGCAATTTTTTTTATCTGACTATTAATTAAACATTAAAGGAATATTCTCACGAGTGTAAATTTTTCTTTTCCAGCTACACGCTGTAATGTTCGACTGTATTCGTTTTTTTAGGATTTTGCATATTATCGTATGTATCAAAGAATAAACAGTGAAATAGATTCTAATCATACTAGTCTGTTTCGCATTAATAAATTTATTTTCAGTTATTTCGGCAGTTATTTTCAGTTATTTAGAATTCTTTTTACGTATTCTTTCATTGTCAGAGCAATTTTTTTTTCTATCGTGCTACGGGAAATTTTACATAATATTTTATTTTAACTATATTTCTGTCCATACAATTTTCTAGCAACTAAATGATTTCTTGTACAAGCTATAACTTTATAACATTTCTACTCAAGATGAGAAAAACTAGTGAGAAATAGTCAATAAAAGCTCTTTATATTTAATACCAAACAAAAAAGTGTCAATCGCAAGCACGATTAATCATCATAGCTATTAGTTCTGAATTTCTGCCGAAAAAAAATCTAGCCGCGCAAGTATTAATTAATTATTTCTATTTATTTTGAACCATCCCCCTTTTTCTAACTCACTCTCTGATTTTGAAGATCACCAAACACATGTTCTAACTCTCAGTTTCCTCTATTCAGAAATGTACCTAATAAAAGTTAGGCACAAAAAGAATCTTCATGATTAAATTGTGGATTTTACAACGGTGGTGACGCTAGTACAGATACATTATTTATATTTGCAAACAGAATGAAAGATTAAATTTAAAAAATGCTCTTGAAAAATGTAACATAATAAAAAAATGACTTCTTGCGGAAAATAAATACGTTTAGACTGGTATTTAATTTGCCCATTTAGAACAAGATAGAGAAAAATATATTTATTAACACTGCATTTCAAGAAAACGTTTAATGCGGCTTTTAGAATATGGAAAAGCTGACAAAATGTATTTAGCACTCTTGTTTATTTGGAATCATATATTATTAATTATTACCTAGGATTAGATATTTCGTTAATTATTATTTAGGATTAGATATTTTATAGATTCAGTGTTCTTTATTAAATTAATCAAGTGTGAAGATTCATGTTAATTCCCAGTAAGGTTTCAGCGCCTGGGGAGAATTGCAATTTTTGCGCCCTCTCCTGTTTACCAAGAATGGAAGACATTTCATTTTAAAAATTCCTAACATCAATCAGGAGCCTCCTGGATGCTGTGCCCGTGGAAAAATATCTTCCCTTGCCCCCTCTAGCTACGCCCCTGTTAAGCCCCTAAGGAGCTCCTTTTATCTCCTTCAAAAATTTCATCTAAAACATTCATCAACATTTCCGATATCTAGTGCTTGAGATTCTTAGAGCCAACCATTCCAATACCCCCAGCCATGGGACAGGATGATTATAACCTTGAGGTCTATATAGCAAACGTGAATCGATTTAAATAATCTGTGAATATTATGTTGCTTACTGTGTTCTTGATATTTACTTTTGTGAATTTCGTTCATGTCACTTTCCAATTCCGTGGCCAGGTAACCTAATTTGTTCGCTGTTGATGTCTCTTTGAAGGAACCACCTCGATCCATCCGCTCATTGGTCTTGCTCCGCCCTTTTACCCGAAGGATCTTTAGAGAATTGCTTCTTTCCATCATTTGTAATTCTGGGGATGCTACCTGTAAAATAATAAACAATTAGCATTGCTTATTCTGCGTTTTTTAATTTCGCCTCTGAACAAGATATAGTCTGGCAATTTTAATAACATGAATAACGGCATCATAATAATATACATGTATTAAAAAGGAGGATTGTAGATAACTTATCAAGATTGTATGTCTTTTGATTTGTTTCGGGAACATCACGTGTCCTGAATAGGAACAGGGAGCTTACTCAAGCTATGTTCAAATATGTGTGGAATGGACGACACAAGCAGGAAGGGTTAACTTTACCCTTTATTGTTCACGATATTACAGGTGCTCCCGCACTTCGGGATACAGAGACCAAACACTTGTGGTCTGAACTTAAAAATATAAAAACTAGTAACTAACTAAAAGTAAGAGTTAACTGCGAGTGCTTTACACAATTGACTAACGCTAATCCTGGCCTTTTAAATTATTACGTGTGTAGTACGCAAACTGCCGAAACTACAATACGTTTTAAATATCAAGAGGACTAAACCTCTGGTCTTAAAGGTGGATCTTAAAGGTGGGAAGCAGCTGATTGGAAACTCGCGTGTAATACAGTGGCTGACTTTCTCTCTCTGCTCTTGGCGAAAACCCACAACTTAAATACTTGGGTGTTAGCAAGTACAATTTGCATAAACAAGTTAACGCGTTTAATTCTGGCCGGAAGTGGAAAATAAGAGAGGAAAGTAAAGTTTTAAAATAAAATAAACGTTAGTACAACTTCAGATCCTTACAAACTTAAAGGAAAAGAAATTTGCTTGCATTTGGGAACTAACGGCAAAGCCCCAAGTAATACGTGTAAAAGAAGTCGAAAAGTTCATTTCATTTTCAAAGGAATAATTTACCGGTTGGGCGAGAATTAACTTCCTATTGAAAACTGTTTATTACTTTTTAAATAGTTAACAAATTTTCATAAACAAAAAACACTTTGTTCCTTGCAATGTTAGAATTTATTACATGATATCTGATTTATGTCACTGGTATCAGTGATGGACCATGGCGCAACGTCTATCCTTGCTCAGCTGACATTCCGGTACGATTCGGGTTCGAATTGCGTGTCGCAAAGATAGGCACTTTAACCACATGCCTATCTTTGTGATTTCCGAGGACTTCGAGTGAACATTTCCTGAAAGCATTTGCACGTTTTCCTCCGTCTTGGATGATGAAGGCCGACTGCGTCTCCTAACACTTGATACAGAACCGGCGCCCGTTAGGTCCCAATCACATTATGGCTACGCGGGACTAGACGTCGAAAGGGACAATTCTCAGAACCCACACAATTCCGGGAAACACACGTAGCTAGGTTACCATTCTCACTTACTAGAAAGACTTGTAGTAAGTGAGATTTATTGAACGCCAAACAATACTCGATTATCGCTCAAATTGGGATCCCGTGATCCTTCAGCAGGACTTTCGTCTGATTGGTTGTCTGTACCCGGGACCCGAGACATTTTCGTTGCGGTTTGAAAAAATCCCGCGTAGCCGCAACGTTATTTCCGTAGCTAGGCGGGACTTCTCTTCCAGCGGGACTCTTTTTTCTAGGAATCCTCCCATTTAAACCAGTGCTACAAGAATATCGTTTCTCAGAAAAGTCCCGTCTAGCAGGGACTGTAGCCATATGTGATAACCTCTTTAGCTTCGAGTGGCAATTCGTTATGGTCTTTGCATTTATCGAGGCACGAGGTCTTTTCATACTTCGCCACCATCTCTGTACTTGTACCACGGACCGCCATACTTCGCACCGAGATGCCAGCTGAGCCCGCTCACGCAAGGTTAGACGTTTCTACCATGGTCTACCACGGATACCTGCAATGGCATAAATGAGGTACCATGTGAAAAATTCTATAATTTGAGGAAAAAATATTTTTCGTTTCATAAAAATTCGTTAAAGATTTAAAAAGTTACCGGCAATTTTAAATAAGGAGTTAATTCTCGCCAACACTCTGTAGATATACAGACCTCTGCTTTTTTTTTCGCAATGTCTGCGTCTTTGTAGTTTGAAAGTTTTTTAGTTCTTCAATCCTTTTATTACATTCTCTGTCACTATCGATGCATTTCTGCTAAAGAATCATCCGTTGTTCATAACACTCGTTACCAATCATGTATTGGAGACTTGGGAACCTAACTGCTTGCAGCTGCATTCTGTTTTCCTGAACTGGCGCCAGTTAATTTCTCGCTCAAATATCGTATGTTTTTATTTTATTTTTTCTCTTACATTTTTTTAAAAATGATTTTCCCCTTTTGCAGTGACCAACTGGTTCAGGATATTCAAAATAAAATAAGCACCCACCCAGAAATCCAGTTTTCCCTCAACTAGGTGAAAGCCCGCAACGGGAACGACGGCAACGAACAGTGAGGTGATTCGTGTCCCGTGGCCCAAGTCCCATATAAAATTTACACTGAATGCAATTGTCGACTCAAAGTGGCAAGAAGAATGGGATTCTGCATTGCAAGGCAGAAGAGTCCACGATTTGTTCCCAAGAACTGACAAAGAGGCACTGCACTATGACCATGTTCTGAATCAGTGTATCACAGGACACGGTCCTTTCCCCACCTACTTCCATGACAGAGACATGTGCCCTACGGATCTCTGCATGTGTGGCGAAAGAAGTGACCCTGATCATTACATTTTTGACCGTAATCTAACAGACGGTAAACATTTGATTAACCTAATACCATTTAAGAAATACGCAATAAAGAACCTTAGGAACACCTTAGGGGCCAAAATCAGAGACGTTCTTATACATATCCAAGGACTCGGACTGGATATTTGTCATATCTAATGTTTATTCATCTCCATATATTACTAAAATATATTTATTTTTATTTTTTAATTTATTGTTCCAATAATTTCATTTTTCTAAGCAATGCTGATGGACGGAATCTCCAAAGACTTGCTTATTACACCTTCTGCCTTATAAAGGGCATTTGTTCATACATTTAGACTTTTGGAAGCATCAGTTGTTGAACTTTTCAAGGACAGTCTATTCTCAGTATGGTTTGTGTACACTATTAATACCAGAAATCAGTTATCTCAGAAAGTCCTCTCAAGGGGTTGATAGTAAAAAAGAGGGGCAGGAGATCCTCGAACTCCCCCCCCCGGGGGTGTTCTCCCTCAAAATTGGGGTGGAAAGTTTAACAGTTAGCTAGGTTCAGCAATATCTCAATTACCTGTGGTACTACGGAAGTGCTGCCCTAGCTTCTACCTGTACCTGTACCTGCAATTGTACATTTATTTATGTATTTTGTTAGTGTTATAACTTACTTGTGTAAGCCTAGCTGTATACTTTATGGAACACGAGGGGCTGGAATTAAGAGTTAATAAAAAAAAAAAAAACTCGTATGCATGGAAAACATAACGACAATAAACAAAATATCATCATACTGCTCCAAATGTTAGATAAAATGAAAATTTTCACAAACGCTAGGAATAACGTATGTCGTCTCAACAAACAATGCGTTGATATTGACAGAGTAATCAAACTTTGAAGCAGAAAAATCTAACCTTTATATCTAAATAATTTATGGGAAATGAAACGTACTTTTGCATCAGCCTACATGTCAGAATAGCTTGTCAATTACACTTTACCACTAGATATCGTAAATTAATAGCAAAGCAAGAGCTTCAGTGATAAAATTAAGTAAATGACTGAAAATATTCTTTTTATCTGTCTCTACTAAATATATATTGTGTCATGTTACAAAGTAAAAAAATGTGTATATATTATCTTCCTTATTAGTAAATTGCTCTGATAGAATTGAAGGTATCACATTCAGTAATTTGGAGAAATGTCGCCAAAACTCGGTCACCAAAATTCTGATTATCAGGGTTCGTACACATTTCTGCACACGGAAATTAAGTACTTTTAAGGACTTTTAAGAACCATAATGAAAAAAATTAAGGACCTATGAGCAAATGGGAACTGAATAAATTCAATTAAAATATTATTCTATTCTTGAATGTCACTTTTGCAATACCATCCTAAAAATAAAATAGTTTTCTAAGTAGTCTGCATTATTACTAAATATGAATTTTTTAACATAGTTATTAAAAAGTTTGAAAATAAAATAAACTTAACGCAGTTTATCAAGTAGCAATAAATATTTTACACATATAATAGGTTGGACATATTTGAAAGAAGATAAGTGACATTTACGTTTTACTAATAGTTAGCTTGTAAAGTTGAGCGCTTCCAACCTGCACGCAACAAAGTGGTGACTGTTCCAACCTGCACGCAACAAAGTGGTGACTCTCTGCACGCAACAAAGTGAGAACTGGAAATAGACCAAAGTCTTGAGAAGGGTTTAAATCCCTTTTTATTCAACTTTAGACATTACAATTGCGTGCTCTTGACGCTCACAAACTACGCCGACCCGGCGGTAAAATAAAAATAAGAAACTGAAAAGAGATAATAACAAGTGACTAACTAAGAGGCTCTCTAAACGTAACTAACCTCACCGCCTTCTAAAATACCGCTGATAATTCAGCAAACTCTGAATATTACGTTGAAAGATTAACAATTTGCCGAGGCAAGCACACAGGCCGAAACGCGTGGTTCTTCAATTTCTAACTAGCCACCTCCACACTCGTGAAGCAAGAAAGCACACTTTCGAACTCGTTTCCTTTCTATTTAACTCAGAATACTTCCGCTGATAATTTGAATCCTTGCGAGTTCTACTAAAATTTACATACTCTGGCATTGGCAATTCCAGGGAAAAGTAAGGCTTGACAGGAAAGATAGTAAACTTAAAATAAATGTTAGTTAAAATAAATATAAACCCTACAAGCTTTATGTTGATTTTTTTTATGTCTCATTTTGTCACATACTTGGTCAGTCTAGATCAGAGTCTCTCAACCGGTGGTACGCAAGAAAAAAATAAGTGGTACACAAAGAAGCAAAATATTTTTAACTGTTTGTTTCAAAAATTAAAACACCAACATCCTGATTGAGTTTTTTCTCTCTAACACTAATAAATTTATGCGATCTGAG